TTGGTATTTCTCAGAGAGTGGTCTTTAGTCAGTGTTCATTTATGACTCGTTTGTGCCATCGCATTTTTAGAATACTTCGCAGACAGCGTGGTTTATGAAAATTTTCACGATGAAGTTAATGACATTCAGATCAGAAGAAGTTCTCAAACAGCAGAGCAACATCGTTAATGTGGCTGCAGTAAAGATTACGACTTTCAGGCGAGTGTTAACACTTCTGATCTTTGTATATCTGATATAATTTTCAGGGATTAGCCATTCAAATATGCTGATCCACCCTTGGATCAAGGCCATCACTATTAGCTACAAGTATTCAGGATATCAGAAATGATGGACATTATTACAATCATACCAACGCTGGTCATCGCATCTGATACACAGCTATCACCTGAGCCACAGCAAAGTACAGCCATAAGAGTTGCTCTCATCTACAGCGTGTTCGTACCTGTCGCCAATTCTGGCATGACCACACGAGAACACTAAATATCTTTGTTGTTCACAAGTCAACAATTTGCCACCCGCTTTACAGCTAGTTGCACCGAAGCAATGTGAGGTAAATTCATTATTCATGATAATTAGCAGTTAAAACAAAGGTCGTCCCTTCTACAAATTCAAACGCGATACTTCCACAGTTCGAATGTGACCCTTTTGCAACTGCGCCATATTTCCTTACATTCTCTGATTGCCAGATTCGACATAGGTTCGTAAAGACAGACTGCATTTAAGGAAGTCACTCAGCAGTCTGTCTAGAACTGTCAAATACAAGTCACAGTAAACATATGTTATTTAATAAAGTAACCACTAAGAACTCTCATAACTTCTAACGTCAGAACGAAAGATTAAATTTTAGTCCATGGTTATTCGTCATGGTCAAATTCTGTCCCCGGACAAGGAACCAACAAGTTGCTTCACGATGTTGCTTGCTTCATCACTACGTCATCTTCTGCATTTTAGCTAGTGAATGTAAAGCAGTAACTCAGACAAGCATTTCCAGTTTGATTAAAATCAACAGCGAAAAACAGCCACCGTTTTTGCTGTACTCAAAACTATTCGTATTAAGATTATAACTTCAGATAAGAATACGTATAGTTTTTCATTTTACCACCGAAAAAACTTTCCACGTAAACATGTGATCACAGTTTTCCATGCAGACACAACAGTTTAATTCTACCTTAAATTCGCAAACATTTTTTAAAAGCCATAATCTGCAGAAAGTAGCTAATTTAGAAATAAACCACATCGGAAACTAAAGGCAACTGATCAGGCGATTTGACCAGTATATCTTAGGTTCCTCAAAACTTTCCAACGGACAGCTTAAATAAGAAATTACGGACCAGCCAGCAGCAAACAGGGCTTTCTTTTAGCTCTACAAATGAGTACAGAAATGATAAAGTCTCAGTCTGAAGACGGAGCGCCGAGTTCTGCAGGCTGACATCTGCTCAATCCTCTTTTACACATGTGAAAGTTGGACCGAAAGAGTCGAAGACGTAATTGAATAAGAATCATGCAACCAGGTTTATGAATCATCTCGCGAACAGGATTTATCGACTGTATATCCAACGCCAAAATTCTTGTCCGTTCCAACATCATCTAGTTTTCTAATGTCCTAAAATAAGGGAAACTGGCTGGTACTGAGAGGTCCACATACAACACGCCTGTTACACTGAACGTCGCTCCAATCCCCGGATGGTACTGGAAAAGAGGTGGAAAAGTTAAGACCTGGTGGGATACTGCCATATCTGACATCGAAGTTATCTCTTGGCCGAAAGCACTGACCTGGCACATCGTCGGATCATGCAAAACCAGTGACAGTAAAAACCGAAATAGCAAAGCATGTCTTTATACCAAATGAATTTACGGTATCATGGTTTTGCTAGCCAACTGTTGACTCCCAATACCGTCGGTAAGAATAATATTCTTATTATACAGACCCATAATAATAGGGTTCACTTTTGGCATATATGCCTACAGACAGATACATTTGTTGGTGTCGGAACATAACGTTACTTTGACGTGCTGTTTTGCGCCCATGTAAAATTCCACTTAGCCGTTTCCTGCTCAAATGGTCTCATAGGCTGCTAACAGCAAGAGGAAGGTGTGCTACGATGTATAAATTTGGAGGAGTGACTGAA